GGTCGGCACCCACTGAACACATGTATCTTAAATAATTGATTTGCAACGGGCCGTGGCCATATGATGCCAAACTTAATAAATAAATAATTAAGAAATGGTGTCACTTGTTTTTTAGTGGTAGTCTGTGATAAATATTAGCATCTATTGTGTATACAAAATAGATGCCTTTATTTTACGAGAAAAGTATATTTGCAGGGACCTATATACTAGTATATAGGCCCCTTGTACGTTGGCGTTTAAGAGTCGGGCTTGGATGACACAGCAAGTGTCTATATAAAGGGTCGGGTTTGTTCTTCACATTCCTTTCTGCTGAACCTTTCAAAGGTAAAGACGCATAACAAATGCTTGCAAAAAATACATTTAACTTTTGCTATGTAAATTTTAAAAAATCGTATAATTTTCCATTTATATATTGTTTTTCAACCATTTTAAAGCTTTTATTACTGTTGATGTTTATTAAATAAGGCGGATGATGTTGGATTCAAAATTTTTACGCAGCAGACGACGCACACGCGGCTATGCCAAAGAATAATTACATTTGTAATTTACCATTGTATTGTTATTAAATGATCAAATATTGGTTATCAACATTAATTATTGTCTTTTTGTTTCATACTGCGTCGAAATCGGAAAATGCAAACCCAGAATAGGGGAACAACAGTATTGAAACTCGGTCGGACCTTTTTTGTGGACACAGTGAGGATGGGTCAAAATATAAGTCAAAGAAAAGAAAAGCAAACAATCTGTGAACCAGTTGGAAAACCAGTCATTGAGTATACGTTTCATCACAATCCAATAAACCAGGTACATCCAACACCTTTGAAATACATAAATCGGTGAATGTTTATACTTGATTAATCTTTGCCATTGTAGAATGAGACAAAAATATAAGCAATACTTGTCTAGGCTAATAGACAATTCAAAACAAAATTAACAAGCAATGGTAAACTTTATGTAAATGCATTGCAAGGTGGCATATACATCTGTGAAGCAGGATATAGTAGGGAAGTTTCTTTCTACAGGACCAAAGCTTTATTAAGCATATAGGGAATAGATTTTCCTGTTATTTCCCGGTCATGACAAGAAGCACACGGCGGGTGTGACCGGTCGGCAGAGGATGCTCACTCCTCCATGGCACCTGATCCCACCTCTGTGTTTTAGAGGTCTGTGCACATGTTTGCTCTGCTCCACATATTTCATTGGCAAGTTTTGATTACTTAATGTGTTATAGCACCTTTCTTAATAGAGGAAAATTCAAAATTTATTCCCAGTCTGCTGAAGGGTTAACACGTGTGTAAGTACCCAGCGGAAAGGGGGGTCTTGGGCAGTATTGGTCGTGGAACAGTTGACTTGTTTTTGCTTCCCCCAATGTGTGGGGTGACTGCAATCTGTGCCAGCTTGCAGCCATGTGGCGTCTGCGCACACCAAGTTAACTGATAACTGAATATTTGTGTGAAACTTGTACTGAACTGTCACCTTGTTGATATGCTAATGCTAGTGTAAACTAAGCTAATAAGCTTACTCTTGGTGACAGTGATATATACTTTAGAGCTGCAATATATAGTACAACTTTGAAATATGAAAAAGTTTGATATTTGAAGTTTGAGATGTTTGATCTATCAAGTTTGAGATATTTGATATATTATGTACAAGATTTGATATATGAAGTTGATATGCTTGATATTTGAAGTTTGAGATATGACTTTGATTTTGAACAGTTTGTATGTTGATTTTGAACACTTTGTATGTGTGCTGACCCTCCGCGGTAAACCCGGGACGGTTAGACTTTGAAACACACATGAAGTTTGAATTTGGTGGGATTGCCCAGTTGAAATGGCATCCCACAATGTTTGTATTTTCTTGTGCCACGGCCAATACTCGCCACAATAAATAAGTATAAATTCTGTACTGAGTTTTGTGTCATTTTCTCTGTATAAATAATATTTATGTACTTACATGTAAGTATTCATTATTTATTACTTATTAATTCAATTTTTTCTTTTTCCTCTTTGGTTATATGTAAACATACTGATAGAAGACTTGTGGCTAATTTTACTAATTTTTATGTGTTCCATTACTACATTAGATTTACATGTGTCTATTAAGCAGAAGTAATGATACAAAGCATGAAAATTCGTTATTATTTTGTGTTTTCTAAACATAGCTTTATTACCAGTAGAAATGCATACATATTTTCCACCTCATTAACAGGGCATGAGAATCGTGCAATATGTATAAATTTGTTTTCTCCAAAATAAAGGACATCGTTTAGTTTCAATAATCATTTTTCTTCTTGGCATTCGCTGGACTGGACTTTTGTGTATGTTTAATAGCTGCAGTGCTGGCGTAAGCGACTCAAATACATGTACCTGCTTGTTATTTAATAAAAACAAATCACGTCTCCTTCTGTTATTTTTCCAGTTTAGATAGGCCTTAATATTAATAAAGCAGAAATGATAAACTTTTTTTTTATAATTCGTGAAAAAAGAACACAAGTCATGTTTGTATAAGTGAAATGAGTTAAACTACATACGAGGGTTGGGTTGTCCCAGAAAAACGCGAACATTTTAAATATTTCATAAACAACCTAACCAAAATTATTCATATTTAAAGCAATGTTGGAAAATGATATTTACGTCATTTTGGCTGAATAATTTAAGGTTATTATGTCATATACATTTAGAAAGAACGTTGAAAGAGTGTTAAATATCGGTGGTCAGCGCACGGTAATTTCTTGACTTTCAAAAATTGCGTTGACAGCGATTTTTTTTATTATGTCAGATTATACGGACATATGATGTGACCAAAATTACACCCATATATGATCTAGAGCTCTCGTGTGTAATAAAAATCAATACTCTGACATTATAAATAAGAAAAATATGACGTTATATGCACAAACACAATTAGCTGGATATTGTCAAAAACGGCGACGTTATGCGATATAATGCGGCGAATTTTTAGTAATTTTTGGACCAAAACTAAAGCAGGAGCAGTTTTTAGAAATGTTTATGGACAGACATTATGCTTTCTCATCCAAAAACTAAGAATTAAAAGCGTAAATACGACTTTTAAGGAGAGGCCAGATAAATTCATGAAATTACTACATGTAAATTTTTAAAATATATATATATATATATAGTGTAAAAATTTTAATGATCTCTACCGAGGAGCAGACTTTTACAGATTGTTATAAGGAAATTGAGTTTAAACATTAAAACTTAATTTACTCAATATTTTCATAAAACAGCCCTCCTTTTATGTCTACTTTACTTCAGTTTTTTACTTGCCTTGTGAGATTTTTTTCCGGGTGGGGGGAGGGAGTGGTGAGAGTTCTTTTTAAGGGTATAATTAAAACTTTAAAATGTAAATAAAATCAAGTTTTCTTATTCATTATTTCATCAAATTTGTCGTAAATTTATTGTTACATTTTTTTTCTTCCTGGGATAAAAGCACTCTTTGACATAACAAAAAAAACTGTTTTTAATTATTCTTATTCCATCAATTATTTTCTGTAAACAAAATAAATATGTATGTAAAGCATCAAAACAACTATCGAACTATAGCATCTCAAATAAATTATATTTTTATACCATCGTTTGTGAAAACTTTAACTAATTTTTCAGTAAATAATCCCTCTTTCATTTGATTGATTGATTGATTGTATGTTGTTTTACGTTCCATTCGAGAATTTTTCACTCATATCGAGAAGTCACCGTTTGCCGGTGAAGGGCTTCAAATTTAGACCTTTACTCTGCACTCAGGGCCAGAGGGTTCTTTACCCCGCCATTTTTTCTCATGACCCGGGGCCTAGGTTCTTAAGGTCTCATACGAAAGACCCGCAACTTTCACTTCATAGTGCCGAGCGCTTGGAATAGTTGCTACCTATTTTTATCGACTTAGGTCAGTCGCGGCCGAGGTTCCAACCCATGACCTTTCAGGCACGGAGCGAGCTCTAATAATTTGACAAAAATGATGATGGAACGGTATGTGGACATATTGAAAACTTTACATTTATCCTGCTTTCCGTCTATACTTTTTTTAACAATGTGGATTGCTGTTTTTCTTTTTCTAAATCCACGATTTATGTAGATAGGAATACCTCGATTTTTTTCGTGAAAAGGGTGGTAAAATAAAATGCTTTCCAAATGCACACGATAAGCGGAAAATCTGATAAACGCAAAACTTGATAAACGCAATATACGATACGATAAACGGAAAACTTGATAAGATACACGCACGATACTACAGGAAATGCACACGATAGAATTGTCAAGAAAAACGTTGCGGGTACTATGATACTAAGTTCATAAAGTTAATCAAAATGACTTTCGACTTTTCCTCTATATGAAATATGGGGAAAAAGAACAGTATTCAAGCTCTAAAGTCCATTCAAAAATTCAATATTCATTTTTCAATCAAAAGTGTCATGCTGAAGGTCAGACTTTGCAAACATAGCTCTTAAACTGTGAACTGAATATTGACATCTTCCGCTCTTTTTACTCCCCCCCCCCCCCCCTTCCCCAAGTTTGATGTGTATACAAGAGAAATTCATTAACAAATATTTTAGCATAGAATGCAATATCCTATTGTCGACTTATCAAATGATTCTTCTACGCATTGATTAAAAAGATAGAGATCCATGGCATTATTTATTAAATTACAAATCAAAAGTTAAGACATATTTTTTTAATTGCAAGGTTCATATTCGGCCACATAAAGAAACTACATGTATTTCTTTGATCTTTTACCAGTTGTTCGATACCTAAACTACAGAAGTGTATCCACTTACACAAGTAGATTAATAATTAGAAAATGTGTTTTATTTTTAAACTAAAACGCATTTCAAATTAAAAAAAAATATTTATGTTTTCACATATTAAACAATATTTTCCCGAAACTCCCGAAATTCAGAATGTATTTTGTATGAATAGTTATACATTTTTTGTATCAGTAAAATCTCGTCAGTTATTTAAAAATGTTCATTAATAAAAACGTACCTGACTTTGGATAGCAAATAACAAAAACGTCATCTTTCCTCGTAAGTAAATTTACAATATCTGTAATTCGTTTTCGGGCGTCATTTAGGGTTTGAAATGACGAAAATGCTGGAACTAGTAGTCCGTCTACGCTTAACTTTTGTTTTGTCGTCATCATAAAATCATAAACTGTTTCATCAAAGTAACTTGCAAAACTGAAGTTAAATTGACCCACTCTTCTCTCACCCTTTCAGTCCAGACGTGATTAACTGCTAAAACAACAAGTTTAAGGCAGTTCCAAGGTCTTGTTACCAACAACACTTAGCCGTTCAGCACAATAATTTAGGTCAAATATTATGTAATTCTGTTGGCATACTTTTTCCCGACTGTAAATAATTTATGCAATGTCACAAATTTTCTGCGGAAATTTGTCACAGTGCACTTAAAGTGCATTTAAAACACACAATGGCAAATCCAAGAAATCCGCGTAATTTTATACCGGCGAATTGAAGAGAAATGAATTGACCCCATGTAAAAAGTACGTTTTACAGTGCCTTTTGTAAAGAATCACGTTTTAAACAAAATAAATAATGAAAAAGCGTTCAACTATAAAACTTTTAAGCTGCTTCAATCAATAACACATTGTCTTTGATACTTTTTCCCCTAATAAATGCAGCACTTATTTTCAAATGCATAAATGTCTGGATTGATTCCAAGTTAAATGTCGAAAATTAACAGTCACTGCTTCTTTTAAGAAAGAGAGAACACCCCTTTAATATTTGTTAACAATTATAGCACTCGTACTATTAATTGTTTCATCAAATGTTGCATACTTGGCAGTGAAAAAACTATCTAACCTTGAAAAAAAAATTAATTTTTTGAAGCATCGTGGGTATGTTAAGGCTGCACACAGATATCCTACTTGCTTGTACAATATGACGTCATAGTAAGCTGTGTGACGTGAACTTTAGAGATAATGATTGCTTAATATCTCTATTTTAAGTTTAATTTAAGGTCCAAGAAATGAATAGAAGCATTTAAAAACATAATATTAACTAAATTTTATCGTTTATAGGTGGTATAAATAGCTAAGTATTAATAACAGGGGATAAATACCAAACCCAATACGTCATAATTATTGATCACATATTGCCGAGTGAAAATTAAACGTGACGAGAATTCAATGTAACCAAATATATGGAATGGGAATTTTAAAGCATATACCGTGAATGTCATGTGTGATTCATAAGGAATTAAAGATTAAGAATCAGGTACGCTGATTTATTCTTATCATGATTTCTTATAATGAACACAGGCAGTGTTTTGAAATCCCGATCAGATTTTCCTCTGTCGTTCTAACAACAAAAATGCAAAAGTTCAACACTACGCCGCATACTTTGAAACATAATTTTTGTCTGTATCGAGAGCTTGTATTCTATAGTACTTTGAAAGTGCTGCTAGAATCGTGTGGTCAACATGGATTGATGACAATTCCTTGATCGTATGTACAATACGTAGAAATTTTGGTAAGGTTATATGCGAAACTTTTTGAATATTTTTTTTCTGTGTCAGTAGAGAAGGATTCTAGCAGCACTTTTGGCCCAGTGAGGTTTTACAGTATTATTTTTACAAAAAGAAATGAATTATCCCCGGGGTAGTGTTGAACTTTTCACTTTTTCATTCAGGCAATTTTTCTATTTATAGACGTCATGTGATGACGTCGTAGCAGATTGCCTCTCTAAGCCTAAGACTCAATGAAGTCTATGCAGTGGATAGTAATAGTAAATGTTTTATCTATGGCTTTTCCGATTTATCAATGTTACATTTTACGAAAAAGTCTAAATTTGCCGAAAATGATCTGGATACTGCCTTACCTACCTGAGATGAATCAATTACAGCTGTGTTTTAATAAATTTTCTTATTTTCTTAAACATGAAAGGTGATTGTAACTGGATTTTTGTCTTTTTCTAGTGCATACTGAAATATTTGCAGTAGCGTAACGAATTTTAACTTTTGTTTTTGCTTATTCTAGTTAAAAATAAACTCACTAAAGTTCAAGGATGTAGCTTGAGTTAGGTGATCAAATATTTACCCCAGGATCAGTGTAGTGAAGTTCAAGCATGTTTAGAATATCATCCCCCCTTTAACTTCCCTTTCCGGAAAATTGTTCAGTATTTGTGCTGTATTAGTGATCGGATAACTAACACATTTTCCAGATAGTCAATTCTCTTTTGTAGAGTTTTTCAAAATGTATACTGCTAAATTGTAACATTAATGAATCTTCAATGTACATAAAAATGAAATATTGTATTTAAAAAAGTACTTTGTTAGCACATAAATAAGTTAATATGTTAGAGTTGGTTCTTATATTTTTTTTAAAGTTGTACGTATGGTTTTTTTAAATGATCAGAAATAATACAGATTATTTACGTCTGTTTATATGGTTGACAACCTAAATTTTAGCAAACAATGTTTCCTTTTTATACATTTTTTCTTCATTTTACTCAGTACAAGTGTCGCAAAAATGCCACACACAACTACAATTTATGCTTCCAAATTATTCCATATGATATAGTGATAATATAGGTTATAAGGGAATACATAAGCGTCCTTTACAAGTTAAATGTCGGGAAACATTTGATAATTATACAAAGTCCATCGAAAATTGTTAAAAACCATTTACTCCCATTGTATTTTTAATTTCGAATCCTTCATTTTTTCATTGAAGACCTGATCAAACTTCTTATTCTGTTCCTCGGTAAACATCGATTTCCAATCACCAACCTCTCCTAAAGTATGGATGCGAAAATTCAGAACATTTATTATACAAATTTGTATACTTTTTAAATGAATTCATTTCTTGAAAGATATTTCATCTTAGATTTAGAAAACTTTAAGTTTTAACCTTTTCTGTAGATAAAGTTCCATATTGAATCCTTTTCTCTTTCTTTTACTTTCGCAAATGTACATTCATCATAAACAGCCTGAAGAAATTTAGGATCAGACGAGGTTCCGAGAAAATTGGATATCTGTCGCATCGTCTCCATCCCATTCTAAATTAAACATAAAAACAACATACGTCCAGTATCTTTTAATTAAAGAAAAAGTGTCATTAATTACAACAGAATGCCTGAGGATGTAAACGCAAAAAGTCTCTTGTTGAACATACTTTCTTTAGATCTTCATAATAGACAATCAGTATCTTTTCGGAGTTTTGTCCTGCTGCTTCTTCCCACTCTTTCTCGTATTCAAACCAACTACCATAGTAACAGTCTGTTTTAAATCAAATTTAAGATGACTATTTCTAACAAAGAATGTATATGACACGCAGTTCTGTTAAGGCGTACTACGAAGAAATCAACGGAAAATGAACGTGCATAAATAGATACTGGTACCTTTTTAAAACTGAATTTTTTTTATAAAGCTACTATATTATCACATGACTTTAATATTAATTGAAATAACATTGTTTACGCCGCCCTGTATTGAATTTGCTTTGGTCACGTTATTTGACAGCCACGTGATAAATGTATGTAATGTGCACTATATGTAGGTCATGAACAAAATTCAATATCGCAAGGGCATACAATAGTTAAAATTAAAAAAATTAAGTAATAATTTGTTTCTACATATCTTGTTATTTATGGAAAAATCTGCTGCTTTAAATAGAATTTGCATTTTATTAGTTTAAATTTCAAAGCTCTAGTCGAATATGTGTGACCTTTTCCAAGTATTTTATGTATTTATTAAGTAATGATCTCGATTTCAGGAAAGCAGCAGCACTTTTCAAGTTAAGGAATATGACCGTTATATATATTTTAAAAAATGATCAAGAGCTATTAATTGTATGCCCTTGCAAAAAGGCGATTAATGAAGCACTCGGCGTGAAACATGCAAAAAATGTATCAAAGACACGGTAGAATTAATTCAATACATTCTCTCGATAGTTTTTAAGTAATGGCAGTAAACGAAGGTTTCAGATTTGTATTAATGGTTTAACATTTGCGAATAATATTCTCTTTAATAATAAAATGTTTTTTTCGCTGTGAACAAATTACTTGATCTGACTCTCACTGCACAAAAAATGCGTCAAATTTTAACATGATGACGTCATATCGACAAGTGCATTGCGATCAGTGACTTGAATACATCTTTCTGTGTGGGATTTAACTAGCAATAAAATGAATGCAGTGGTAAGTTTTGATGTAGTTTATTACTCTTATGCAGTTAAAATCGCATTTAAATCGCATTAAAATTGCTATTTATGTATGATGTCACATTATGCATTTCCCTTATAATTTACGCCCCTGCCCCTTTATGCAACCGTAACAGAACTGCCCATTCATAATTTTTCATGTGATCTATTAAAGCATTTTAAGTATCTAGGTTTTATACCATATTAAAAAACTACAAAGTTATGAACAAAGCATAATCATTAATTAATAATAATTGCATTATACTCTCCTTTTGGAGCAATCATGAAAAATACTTGCTTGTATTTCCAATCAAACATTCGCTATAGTTCTTCATTCAGAATGAAAATAAAAATAAAGATGTGTCATATGAAAGACATTATATTGTCAGAAGACGACAATGCATTCAACGTACCCCCATGTAAGAATTCGTCCAAGAAGGTGGGCCAGTCAAGAGGCACGTAGTTCTTGATAAATGGATCTTTTGTATAATGATGAAAAGCGGACACTACAATGTCCTTCGGGTTACGAATGGATTGGATAATTTTTCCATTGTTTTCCTTTGGAATATATTTAACTGGAAGATGGGATGCCATTATTCGAGGCGAAGGAACAGTCTCCATTTCCTGTAGATTTGGTATAAACTCTAAGAAGGTGTCGGTCATTTTGTGAGGGGTGTCCAGACATGAATTCTGAAGGCGGGGAACGATTTCATTCAGCCAATGGTTTCCTTTTTGAATTTAAATGAAGTAAGATGAGTTCACTATGCATAGGACAAATACCTTGCTTCGGACATATTTAAACAATAATCTTGCATCAACTCTAAATGTTTCTGTGTTTTGATTTGCTTCTGTCTTAAAGCCTAAAATTTAAACTTTTTAATGATACCGATATTTACTATCATGTTGTGATGAAAATACAACTATAACGACATTGAAGTGACGTCATATTTGACATCATTATTAATGGGAAATAACCAGAATTTTACGATTTTTCAAATTTAAAGTTGTCTTTCTTTCATTATACCTCAAGGAAACGAGTCAGTCTTTGGTGAAATTTGTCAAGTTGCCACAATACTCAGCATTGCAAAGCATTTTTATGCGATGTGATGCAACTTAAATCTCTCCACCCTTGTGGATCGATTGAATCAATCAAATTAAGCTAGAAAGTATTTCATAGATAAACATAAAAAATAGTTTCATGCCACTAATTTAAAAACTCAAGTATTTTAAGGGTCAATGAGATAAACATTTGACATTTGTACGTTTCAAAATACTGTTTGTCCGCTGCATGGTGAATATTGTCCGATCCATGGTGATATCAGGCTCCTTCCAAAAAAAATCATTTTTAGATTTTTTCTTAATAAAAAGCAATAAATAGTGTCACAAATTCATATTTGGATCACAGGTTACATGTCTAGATACATTTTGATAATATTCGGTCGGTAGCAATATCGCTAGAACTTGTTCAAGTACGAGGGTGTCCGATGCATGGTGAACTAACCCTTCTCTCATGATGTCAAATTTCATTGGACGCACTCCAAAAAATTGATATAAAATATATATAATGAAAATTACAAATTCTATATTTTTAAGGATATTCCTTGTTAAATCATCCAGAGGATTCCTTTCCATTCAGAAGAAGACATAGCTAATACATTTAATTGGAGCATAGACTCAATGCATCTTTGAACCTCTCAAAAAACGCATATGTTTGCCATTATCATTAAATACAATTACACATTTTTGTAATTTTGACATCAAGTAGATTCTTTATTTTTTCTTATCTTTTCATTCGTTTACACAACTTTTCTATGTATGGTGCAATTATTATAACACATTTAATTTTCCAAAAATATCCAAGTGCATGTTACTTCCAGCTGGGGAACAATTTCTGTATAAAGACGTTTTTGAGTAGAAAAAAAATAGCTGAAAGAGGATAATCTATCAACGATCAGGAAGTAAACAGTTTTACCCTGTTACATCAGTCACAAATACTCCTTATGATCCATACTTAGACCTAATCTACTGCTGAATAATTCCTCAATCTAATTATCATTATTAATATTTTTAACAAAAAATATTGAGAAATTTAACTAAGATTCAGTGCACGTTTTGATTTCTATGACACAAAATATCAGCTGTTGTTAACAAGCATAAAAAATGATATATAGTTATATGTAATGTGTGTTTGAAGGAAAGCAATCAACGATTTCACAGTAACTGCAGCGCTCATCACAAATGAATTCCTCCAATTGAATTGAGACAACGATTGTATCTCCTACGTTTGCTGAAATGCTGATAAAACTTAGTTTGTAAAGTTCATTTGAATGTACTAGTTAAAGCTTTCTTCTATATTCTATATAACTTCCAATATTATCCTATGTTATGTAATTTTTTAAAAGTCGACTTACCGAATGTGCTTTAGGCATGGATTAGAAAGGTAGAGATTCGTGGGTATATTTTATTGAATTGCAAATGCAATACAGTTATTTCTTTCATTGCAAGGTTCAAATTTGTCCACATAAAGAAGGGTTAATCCAGTTGGTAGATACTCTTTCATGCAAACGACAGATGTGTAACAGCTGTATACATGTACATTACTAATAAGAAAATGTGTTTTTTATTCAAATGAAAACGCATTTAACGTTAACAAAAAATATTTATGCATTTAGCTAAATCCAGAAAATAATAATTTCGCGAAATTTTAAACTTTCACAATCTAGAATACTTATATATTAATAATTATGAATTTTCTTTATCTTATATATGTCTCTGAATTATTATATAAAAATAACATTTCATTTTCCAAAGATAAGAAAAGATTAGAGCTATTTGAAATATTTATCTACCGTTCTAGAAACAAGACGATAGATACCATACGAAAAAAAAAAACGTACCTGATTTTGGATAGCAAATAACAAAAACGTCATCTTTCCTAATGGGTAAATTTTCAATATCTGCAATTCGTTTCCGGGCGTCCGTTAAGGTTTGAAGTGGCAAAAATGCTGGAACTAGCAGTCCGTCTACACTTAACTTTTCCTTTGTCGTCATCATTAAATCAAAACCTGTCTCATCAAAGTAACATATCAACCTGAAGTTAAATTGACCCACTCTTCTCTCACCCCTGCGAATCCAGTCGTGCCTACTTGCTTAAATAACGAAGTTTAAGGTAGGTTCAAGGTTTTTTAACAATAGCACCTTACCATTCTGCATTATGATTTAGGTCAAAAATGCATTATGTAATATTGCAGACACACTTTTTCCCAACTGGAAATAATTTATGCTATGTCACAAATTTTCTGCAGAACTTTGTCACGTGACACTTAAAGTGGATTGGAACATAAAATCGCAATCCAAGAAATCCACGTAATTTTATACCTGCGGATTGAAGAGAATTCGAATTTGTGATTCCACGGAACTATGTCTCCGTGGTGAAAAAGTAAGTGTACAGTATACCTTTCGTCCCTTCCGACCGGTCACACCCGCCGGATGCTCCTTGTCATGATCGGTAAATATCGGAAAAATCTGTCGACAATTCAGTGTGTATATATTGGCCTACCAATTAGTATGAAAAACGCCAGTCAGCATATGGCTTAATGATAGATTGTATTTGCTGACTAAGTCATTGTATCGACCATAGAACTTACGAAATGATGACTTTAAACGAGAATGTTGATATTTTTGTTTCATCAACTTGTTTGTCAATAACTTACATCGTTCTAGAAATTGTTCACACGAATCGAAGAGCATGCTTTTGCGAGAGATATACACCCCATATGCAAGTGATTGCTGTATGAGTAAGGGAAGTTGACGATTGAAAAGTTAAAGTCATCACGTTTATCATAAAGCTTGGTTGTTAGATTACCATTAACGACTTTTTCTAGTAAAATATCCAAATATGAAACAGATGTGTCATACTCTGTGGTATCTTTTATTTCAAGCGCACTGGGATATATCGTGTCGATATATGAATGGAAATAACTATTGTTAATTGATAATACGTCGTCGATATATCTAAAATGTCGAGTCGAATGCCACAACAAGAGATTTTTCTCATGTATAAGATTTTGAATAAATTCTGCTTTATATAAATACAAAAATAGGTCTGCTAACAACGGATGCAATTGGTACCCATGGGAATTCCAACAGATTGTTGGAAGACCTGGTCTCCTAAAACCTCATCGATATTGTCAATCAGAAACTTGAGCATTTTTTTAATATCAACTTTAGAGTACTTGTGTGTACAATCAGAATGCTTTTTAAAAAAATAATTTTGCAAATGACCAATGACAAGGTTAGTAAATTTACGAGTTCCATTTTTATTGAAAAAGCAGCTGCCAATGATGTCAAAAAGCCTGGGCTTTAATTAATCGTGGGGAATGGTTGTATGCAGAGTTGAAAAGTCGTAAGTTTTTATGTTATTGATTTTGGTAAAATATTGTGATTTCAATTTTTCCAAAACTTCCTTGGAATTTTTAAGTATCTACATCTAATATGCACCACTTCCCGAATATATTGTTGACAGTACTCCTGAAGTTTCTCCTTAATTCCTGTTAATGTTTTAGTGAGGAGTAAAGAATGAGGCTTGGTAGAACATTTACTGCAATCCGCTATATATCTTTGTTTGTAAGGATTTTTATGAAGTTTTGGAATCCAATATTAATATGATAATTCAAATTCATTTGGTTGTTGGGAATATTAAAAATATTTAAACTGACGTATGATTTTAAAGAATTTCCTACTTAGAAAGGGAGCTATGGGTGTAAGTTGCATTGCCATTTGTAGAATTAAATCCCATTTCTTCTATATTACAATTAAAATAATGAACCTTACAAACAAAGACAATGTTGTTACCTGCTAGGTAAGCTGGGTCCAGTACATACTAATCGTGTAGTATATCTTATTCTTTTTTCACTTCTGAATTATTGAAAACAGAAGGATAGATGGTTTTCACATTGCCCCTGAATCGCTAAATGATAAATAATAAATTGATAAATAGATCAATAATGAAAAACCAAACGAATGTAAAATACTGACGTATACATTTATCTGAAATGTTTACCTTTAAATTTTAAATCGTAACATCGCTAAATAGGATAAATATAATGACACTAGTTCACTCTGTGAATCTCTGCTTCACACACACACACACACACACACACAGAGAGAGAGAGAGAGAGAGAGAGAGAGAGAGAGAGAGAGAGAGAGAGCACCCTCTAAAAGAGCTAAATCCACGAAGGGGCTAAATCGGCCTATTTTTTTTCAGGAAAATTAAACTGAGGGGAAGAAGAAAATTAACAAAAGAAATGTTATCCTTGAGTATCAAACTTAAAAAGTTTATGCCAATTTTTTTAATTTGATGACGTCATATTTGTACAGAAAACGTCTAAACACGTGCACTTTGCTAGTTTTTATCAAAATGAAGCATTTTTTTCGTCTTTGGTTCAAATTTTTGCTGTGGCCACACCCTTCGAACAAAATGAAATTTATACCATTGAAAAGAGGATTAAAATATGAATAAATAAAGTACATTTTTATTTTGTTCGAGGGGTGTGGCCACATCGAAATTAATACTTTTCGTTCGATTCAAATACCTTAGCACCGACTCACACTGTGAAAATAGCGGGGATTACCTTACATTACTAGAAAAGAAAAAGATTCCATATTGTTTTTGTAAATATCAAAAAGTTTCGAAATGCGAATGTTATATTTATTATAAGTTATTTTGTGTTGTGGTGCATAAAAGTACGAAAAATTCTCGCTAAGCATGACTGAATGTAGATGCAATAATGTCGACATTTTCTGTACTACATGCCTCAGTCCTGACCCAAGACTTTTCCTTCAAGAAGTTGATCTATAACTCATCATTATGCTGAAATATTAAAAAAAAAAACTAATAATGTGTTCTCTTTTCCTCTGACAGCCTATTTATTTATGCTTTGAATTTTTTTTCCAACTCCCGTCTCCTCGTCACCATGGTCACTATGTAATCAAAGGGAGATCACCCGAGAAACATGTAGGCTACATCTTTATTTTCTCTTGATTGGCCGTGTCGGAATATCCTAGAATATTAAACAATTTACATCGGAGTCAACTACCAAGACGTATTTATAATGATTTTTTTTTGCCATCTTACAAAACATTAATGTCGTGAAGTCTGCATCGACTGCATACAAATGATTAATGTTACGTAATAGAGTCTAATATAACTATACATGTATTATAACCCATACCCAACATGCGTTTCAGAAATCGCCAGTGGCATTTTAAGACAAAAGATTAATTAATAGATTAATAGTGAAAACCTTTACTGATCCGAGACCTCTTAACATGAATTATGTTACGAAGTACTGAACCTAGAAAATTCGAGTTGACAAATCAAACAAACAATAGATTGATTTTACAGATCGCTTGTAATTTATGTGATACGCCTCTATAAGAAAAATGTCCTATATTGTATTTAAACGAATAACTTACTACCAAGGCAGTGACAACTCTTTAAGGTTTTAAGTAAATTCAGTATCGCATGCATGCTGTGACCTAGCCAACACATGAAAAGAAATGTCAAAGGGAGGCTACTTGCTATCTCTTTCTATTTTGAGTTACTCCGCTTAAATGTAACAGGCCCAAGGGAGAGAGGGCACCCAAGATTAGCAAACATGTTTATACATGTAGTAGCGTAAATTCATAGAGAGGGATTAGAGCATTGATATAAAATAAGAAGCAAAAAAAAAAAAAAAAAAAAAAAAAAAAAAAAGAAAAAAAAAGACAGGGGTTATTGGGAGGAGGGGGGTTTCGGGATTCTCACTCTCACTCATTAAATACGTGGGACAGTTCGACCAATTACTGCTGCCATTTAAACAAGAAAGTAGTGAAGTGATATTAGTCCTTGTATATATAGTATAAAAAAATAAATTCAATAGCAGTTTTCATTTTTTTTTCAATCTCCTTGATAAAAATTTATTTTAAAAACGATTGATTTTTCGTGACTCGGTCATTGCATAAATTTATTATAGATCCCAGGCCCGTAGGTAGCAATTTCAGTTTGGAGGGGGGTGGGGGGACAGCCATACATTTTCAGTTAGGGGGCACTATCAACTACCAAAATTCCTTGACAAGCAAAAAAAAAAAGGGGGGGGCATCAGACGTTTTTATTGACGGGGCACAAGCATATAGTAGTTTCGTTTTATATAGTATACTATATATCGGCAAAATTATGGGGGGGGGGGGGGCATGGCCATGTATCCTGAATGTATTATTATTATTAACGGATATAACTGCTAATTTTGTCTGTCTATCATTTTTTTTTTTTGAAGGGATGTCTATATAGAATATAACTTCATAGATCGGGCAATTGAACATGATTTTTTTTTTTGGGGGGGGGGGGGGGGTGTATGGTAATATGTCGCTCGACATGTGGTCTATAATTTTTGAAGACGGTCTGTAATAATAGCCATTTACTACTTCCAGTAGCTGTTTTTCGTATATTTTTGTTTCATTACAAAGAGTAACGATCCGAAGACGTCCAAGTTAAAAATCTCATATATGCAATATGTATACGATATTATGATTATTTTATCGTCTTCTGTACTCATTATCGCCTATCTATTTGTAGTTGTATTAGAAATTGCACATGGAGAAACGAAATGTGATTTTTAATATTTGAAAATTATGAGCAAAATGTTAAAACTGGCTTTGAACTATATGAAAGTCTTAGTTGTTGTTGTGTTTCAATGCAATTTTCACTTCTCACCAGATAATCATTACTTTATGATTTTATTTAAAAGGGTTTATAATAGGTACTCCCCAAAATGGGATTGTGTAAGATATGATAATATGATAAGAAAACGATTAGTTAGCAATAATTAATTCGATCGTTTTCGTCATCTGAAATCCCTTTTTATGCCTATTGTGGGTATGTAAAAAACGTTTCTCTTTGATGATATAACATTTATTATACCGGTAATTAGTGAACTTTATTTCGATTAAGTAATTTACATTGAGTAAAGTGGTATACTCCAATTTCCGTTTATCTTGTTTTTTTAACTTCAGGTTCCGTTTTGAAATTCAAATACTTCGGAAATCTTGTGTTTTCGTCGGACTCTTAATTTTTTGCGGCCGATTTCATGCTTTGCATCA